CAGCTCTCTTTCCAAACTCGGTATGTTGATTCCTGCAATTAATCGATCTCTAAGTTGTACATGAAGTTGGTAGCTTGTTTCTGCAATTCAAGGATGAATTCCCGAACTTTTTGATCATTTTGACGAACCATCTTATGAAATTTCGCCCTTTCACGGCATTTGAAACTGGTGCATTTTACATGATTTAATAATAGCTCTTTCAGAGTTGCACAAGGAAGTGAGATAGGTTTTTCTGGATATGCCAAAGTTTTTAATAAGTTGTAAGCTTCTCTCCCAATGAATGTCAGGAAATGTGCCACAATTTTATCACCTTTGACATCTTTCTTAGTCATGCTCCAGATTTCAAACCTTTCCAAATAATCCTCAAATGCTTCCGAAGTTGAATGAATGTCCAACTTTTCCATTGCAAGTTCCATTACGACGCCAGTATAATGTTTCGACTTATAGGAATTATAGCACTAACTAAGAGTCCCAGAAATAACGCAATTGAATTAAGAAGACACAGGCACAACCGAATGTACTGTATTTGGAATTCGAAATCGTACAATCGACCAGTACAATAGTATCATTAGTTCGTTCAAACACCACACTGGGCTTCCTATTTCCCCGTTCACAACACAGGCCATTGAACGTACGTGGTTGCATGACTAGGGTTGGTTTTGGGTAATCCAGAATGGCCGCCTTCTTGCTTTTCGGAGACCGAATAGCTTAGGCATCAATAGAGTATCCACGAAAATCTAGGTAGTTGGTTCTTATTTGATATTTCTGAACGTTCAGAGTAGTGTCGTGTTTTTGCAGCCGTTAGGAAACAAGCAGCCATGGGAATTTTGTTAGAGGCTTTCTGTCTACTAACCTCCGTTTGCGCATGTCGAAGAGTAGAATATGATCTTGTAGCAGGCCTATATCAATTATGTACTTAGGAACCTCTGCAATGACGAAGATCCAGTTGATGAGTTCGCATAAACCTACGCTAAGATACACATATTTTCGACCTTATATGGTAATCGATTTAGCATTTGCTGTCGTCGGGATTTGCAGGAAGTACTCCAACATCTCTCCCCAGTGTTGACGAGATAGTGAATGTTTGTAACGACGTCAGTGATGTACAACAAAAAAGCCGTGTCCGCTGGCCACGGTGTCGTTAACGAGTGCCAGTAAGAAAGTTTTTAGAAGGGCTCTTCGTATCGAGCGGCTTAAAGATTGAGAATCTCCAGGTTTTTCTGCGATTCCTGAAGACTTGTCATACTTATTATGATGCCAATATCAATAAAGATTATCTATCTCTCGTAGTCTAGAGTCAGAGGATTTTAGTGGTTAACGTTTTCAAAGACTTCTGGAGTGTCTACGATTATGATGAATATTAAGGTAACGTGTAACAGTGTCACAGTGGTCTGTGACGTCTTTTCGTGTCGTTTGTGGCTTTTCTTTGACTGAAAAAACCTCGGCGCTGAGAGTTATGTTGATCTACAGAACCCTGTCGGTAGATGCAGCTAGTTCGTTTACAACGTTATTTTGGAATGAGACAAGTACTGCCTGTGTCTGCTGATGATGCTTAGACAAGCAGAGGAGTCTAAACAAGCCTCCGCCAAAGGCCTTTTGACCAACGGCCTTTTGCACACGTGGCATTGTTTCTGTTGTCAAGCCACGTTGAGGTTCGATGTTGTAGTGGATTTGGTCTAACTTTTGTCGGTCGGATAGTTTTCCATGTTTGAGGATAGCCTTTTCTAAAGTTTCTTAAGGTTCTTAACAATCAACAGTGAAGGTGCTGGGTGTAACATACTTGTCAAAGCCGCAAGGTAGTGCCTTCGCTACTGCGAGGAATTGTGCACGTGAGTCTGTGTATTAGAACCAAGTTGCTATATTATCTGTCTAAAATATCACTAGTTGAAATAAGGGAGATGAAAGAGGTTTATTCTTAAGTAACTTAAGTGTCTCTGCCAACTCAGTCAAATCAGGAGTCAGAAATGAAGAGGTTGTAGTGACATTGGACCCTAACCACACAATACTCAAAGCTGAACAAGAGACAACTTAGAAAATATAGATATTCAATATTTAACGCAGAGAAAGACCTAACGACGGAGAAGGCGGGAGCAATGGATTTAATTAATTCGAGTTGATCGGGTAACATGTCTCGTCCTTGCATGCGTGGACCCTGTTGAATGTTACCTTATATCTTTTACTCATATTAAGTATATTATTCTACCTCCAGCGTGGATGTGTTCTCCACCATATATTGGTAATTGTTACGAGTAGACAATGATGTGACATTCACGTAAAATCTTATGGATTAGGCGTTTGCATCATGAGAAATCTAGTATTTTAGGATTAGATCTTTTATTAGAACAGCACTAATATCGTAGTAGACCGTAATTCTACAAGAATATATATATATATATATATATATATATATATATATATATATATCTGAAAGGCTATCGCTATATCGGGAATCGTTTGATCTAAGCGGGCCAACGGTTGTAGAAGCACGGTGTACCCACTCGTGATCTGGTGCGTCTTTTAACCAGGTTTGTCCAGCAAAACTAATACGGTCTAAATCACGCGTTGAGGACTCACATAACTATTTATTTTGGGTATTTATTTACCACTACAGTGATAGTTTTACAACGCCGTATAGCATATCTGTCTCACTTGCAATCCTAAATGCTATTAATGTGATTTATAGCCCCTTAGGAACAAACCGTAACTGTTACTTAAATATTTGGTTTTGAGCGTAATAGTAATGTGATACTAACTATCCACTTAAGTTTTGTAAATGGAACCAATAGAAGTTCACATCCATTACCTGGGCCTCACCAATACTGAGAGGGCAAAATGTCTTTATTCTGCAACGCATCACATACGAGCCCAATAGCTGATTAGGCTTTAGGCTGAAAGCATTTCGAATTGCTGGTCAGCTCATAATAAACAGTAATTCGACACCTTAGAAAAACGGCTACTGGGCGTTAGTTTAAGTCATTTCAGTTCGAACTGCACTTAAGTAATTGGGTAACTCTTCATTTGCATCATTTTGGTTCAAACAATATGTTTGTTTCGGTTTGCGAAATTACCGAGGTGATTGCGCCATTGTTTAGTGAGAAAATGATGCACGGAAGTAGTTGTTCTATTCAGGTTTGACATTGATGTTCCTAAGCTTTGTAGTTTTGTTAGTTATATTCTTGAACAGGTGGTATATGCATGTGATTGCTTCATGAACAGCTGACAGTATCAAGTCTCGAAAATCCTTTCTGTACGTTTGCGAGCATATGGTATTTCTGCCGGCATGTGTGTAGCGGTATTATGAACTGCGTAAAGTCAGCCTTACGATTATAAGTTGCCTCTTGCCACTTTTCTACCTGACTCTTGGTTAAAGTTCGTAGTTTAATAGCACCCTGAATGAGGAAAATTTTCCGAGAATTTGATCTTGCATAATACTGAAAATACTAGTTTCCAGCACTGATCAGAAATATTGGAAATCGTACAAGCGAAAAGTATATAAGAGAAATTGTTTTAGCCGTCACACTCCGCCTTATCAACGCCACGGAGAAACAGAACCATCACAAGTCCGCTGAATCACAGCGTCCAAACACAAAACAAATCGTTGGTAAATAATAAAATGACGTCGGTCTGTATTAAACAGTATATCCGGTTGTTAGCTGAAGTATACAATAGTTGTGTAACCAATCCTGTTAGCAAAAAAACAAGGAGGAGATAACAGTAGAGGGAAAAAAGGAAGGAGAACAAGAAATGGGATTATGGAATAGTAAGTGACGAAGAGAAAAGTATGGGTGAGATCATAATTTATAGATGATTCCTGATTAGTATTAAATTGTTCAGTTTACTTGGATCAAAATGAAGCTGTAAAGTAGCATGAAAAATTGAGTTTAGGAGTTCAAGTTAGAAGTTACGGTTAGGAATTTCGGCGAGGTTCTTCATCAATAACCAGTATAATTCCTAATGCGCGAATGCTATTCAGACATATGGATAAGGGAAGTTATACTTCTGCCCCATGAGAGTTATTATTCAGTCTTCACTTAAAGGTTTTTGTTATTGAAAATCTTAGTAATCCACAGAGCACTAATTCGTAACTTGAAAAGGAAAATTAATCTCAAGAAGTTGTCTATTTGACAGGCATCACCACAGAGACCACTTCTTAGTTAGGTTTAGCAAATCTGTGGGATTATTTTGTTATGACGACCTGGGTCAGTAAACATACTGTGAGCTGTGATTGATAGCCTCAAGGTTCTACCTTCCTCAGCTGCCGAATCTAATGACGACGTTTTTATTCTTAAGCCTAAGCTTCCTTACATTCAATATCTTTAAATTTTTTTAACGGATTTTGTGGGTAAACGACTTATTTTGTCTCAAATATTATGTCGTATATGAAGTTTCACCGAACTATAGTTTTACAATATATTCTGTAGGATGTCAAATCTCCATGATTCGTTCAAAGGATTTGGTGTGACTGGCTGAGAAGTAGCCCCAGTGGTTGCTTTTTATTTCTGGCCTCTATAATTTATATTTTATTTGACAGACAATTTACCTCAACTGATATAGAGAACACTAGGAAAAAAGTTCTCATAACTTATTTGTTTAAATACTCTAAATACTGGTATCATAGTTTAACGACTGAAATTTCGTGTTGTCATAAGTTAATATAGATAATATCAGTAAAATGCATTAAAATAAAGGCGTCAACATGAATTGGAATCACAAAAACAATGAACAAGCAGAATAATCTACCGGCATCGTTCATGATGAACTTTTAAGTATAACTATGTGATTGAAAATTAATAAAAAAAGTCTCTAGATTAGTTAGTATTGTGATGAAAACATGTAGAGATTATGTAATACTCAAATTACCATCAGAAATATGATAAATGGAAACTATTATTTATTTAATTTGCTAAATATTAGTATGTCAGAAATATTGGAAAAGAAACGTTGTGTAGGAATTTAGTAAAAAATTCTATTCACAACAGAGCCATCAGAAAACTTTGTTATTAGTCAGCGTTTAGAGTAAGACATACACCTTGTAACACCCAATGACTTGGATGAACTTCAGTTTTTAAATGAGCTTCAAAAACTAATCCAACTCCCATTGCATTCCGTCTTTCTGAAGTAACGTAAACTGGAGTACAAAATGTGTTTTGTAATTTTAAAGGATGCGCTTCAATGGCACTAACTCGAAGAATTGACAAGGGTTGAACTAATTGTCGTGACTTTTGACGTTTCAAACAACCTTTAGCTAAATCCCAGCTTGCACCTTCTAAATACAGTCCTTGAACAAAACATCCTTGATGTGCTCGTTCTTGTATTTCATTAGAATCTGTATATTGAGTTACTGCTGTAAATAATGCACTTTTGTCTAATGGCCATCCATTGCGACGACATGTTGTTTGAGTTAAAGCCATCAGAAACGATTCAGGAATATGTAGACCTGATAACCAAATGACACCTGGATCACCATTTTCAATCTGTGTGAAAAAGTAAGATATTGAATAATAACATTGAAAAAAATCCGCACTAACATATGTAGAGTGAAATTTAGATGAAAAAAACGAATAAAATTTCTAAATTCACTTACAAATTGAAATTATTTTCACATCTGTATAATTTACAGTCAGTTGGTCATATAATGAAACAGGTTTACATTTTATTAAGATAATATTTCAGACAGTTTATGTATATTATAGCAACTATCCTACAACTGATTTCGATTATGGTTGATTTTGGTCAAACCCGTTTATTAAATTGCTTAACAGATAATGTTATCTTAATAGTAACAATTCGTCTATTTTTTTGTATGATCACTAAAGCACATGACACATTCTAGCTGAAATGTTGGGTTAACATTAATTGCACGGCCATTTTTTAATTTTTTTTTCGAGTGAAACGTTTTTCATCCCCATCTTCTGGTTAAGGTTTTCATTATCCCCAATGCAATTTTTTTTAAAAACCCCACCCTTTAAAAACAATTTTTCAACCCAAAATTGCAATATTTTTCATCCCGTTTCGTCCAATGAAATGGCTAGTTTAAAAATCCGTTTTAATTGATTAGTTATGTCTTGTCAAATTGTTATAAAACATCAGTACTTGTCGACGAAGTACATTTTAATCATCATTATGGAGAAGAGTAACGTGCCGAGTACAAGCGCTGTTGTTTCTCACGTAACAGAAATGGAGGAAGTCTTTTTGACAACCTTGTTTCTGGTTGCGTTCCCATCGGTTGAAGCGTTGAAGTCCGCTATCACCAATTATGAAAGATCGACTTACTGTCATTATGTAGTTCGAGATTCGCATTTGTGCAGAAATGAAAACTCGTATATTAAATTTGTGTGCTGGAGAAATGGATGTATAACATCTAGCGGTTCGTCACAGCGGATCAGACGGAGGAGGTAATTTGATTAATGTTATTAAAATTCTTTTCATGAAGGGCTTCCATGAACACTCAATGTCCGGCCTTCATGTGATGTAAGATTATAGACGGCTATTGGACTGTTGTGCGTGGGAATGTGCATCACAATCACGAGTGTGATTCCCTGAGGTACCGAAGTAACTCATGGGTGCGCAGGTTAACGGAGGCCCTGTTTGAAAATGTGCGACCGCTGCTGATATCTGGTACCGCTTCATTCCACATTAAGAATTATGCTTACCATTCTTATGGAAAACTTCTGAATGATCAAGATACTTTAATATGCAGTACAAAGTGTTCTCACACGCGAACCTTCCTGGTAAGCCATTTGCCAATTTATAATGTAAACGATAGGTGATTACGGAAAATTAAAAGCTCACATAACATCTTCGGGTGGGCTTTGCGAATACAAATTAGACGATGATAACTGTCTATCGTATTTTTTCTTAACGGCTGATGATTAAAGGATTTTGGCAGATCGTTTATCTGATGTTATTGGTTTGGACGGAACATACAAGACGAATAACGAGAACATCTATTTGTTTCAGGTCATCACCCTTGATATGAATTTTATGGCAATACCCGTTTTTATTGCATTTATAAGTCGCGAAACATCGACTTTTATTTTTCGATTCCTGTTGTTTTTCCAATATATATATATATATATAGACTTACAAATTGTAATATTTGCAAATTATAAAGGTCAGAATGATTTGCAGTGAACATTTTACTGCACAATAAGTACAATAGCATTCGAGCTAATGAATTGCGAATGATGGATGTGAAGATGAAGATATAGATAATGAAAGATAATAATCATAACGAAAATAAATAATAATAACATTTAAAATGTTCATTGATGCAGTTGACCTTATTCATATTTATACGTTTAATGTCGATAGATATTTGTTGAGTCAGTCAGACGACGTAGGCTTGTTCATTTACACTTTATGAAACTGATATTTCAAATGCTTGTCAAAAATGGTTACATTCATAATGTCTAGATATAGTTCAGGTTTCATATTACGGTTAACAGTATTCCAACATGACTGATTAAACACACTAGTTTTTATTACGACCAAAAATATTAATTTTAAAATGCAGAACTACAAATAATTTACAAGTGAAAACAATAAACCGTGTTTCAATGGACTTTTAAAATGAACCGAATTGACATCTAACCCTTTTTCTAATTCTCATTATGAATGACCATTTACAAAATAATCGTTTACTAAATAATAAGTGCCTATTTCGGTTAAATTTATTACTAAATTCATGTACTGTCAAAGTCAGTTCATTAAATGATGGTCTACGGTTGGTTCACCTGAATTATACACATTACAATCAGTAATTTATCATGATGATTTATGAATATGTTGATTTGTTTCTCGAATTAACAGACCATGTGTTACAAAAAAAATATGCACACACTTTGATGATAGTTTGTTTATTAATTGGGTATTCAACATTAGACTACCGACCTCATTCAGTAATCACTATTATCAAATATTCAAACCGGTTTTCAGTTGCATTTTTGTAAAAAATTTATTTTTATGTGATACATATTAGTACTCGTGACATTAAAATTTTTGATCGGAAATCAAAAATTTATCCCAATACACATTCAGTAACAGTAGGATTGCACAGAAGTTGGTGTTTTTTTCTATAAATTTCTAAATTTCTTACAAGACTTACATTACACAAAAAGATTTATTCATTATCGTTAAATTTCAAATGTAAAAATCTAAATTCTGACATACAATCACAGCTGTAGATGTGATTTCAATTTCAACAAATATCTATCGACATTAAACGTATAAATATGAATAAGGTCAACTGTAAATTTAGAACAACATATATAAGCGAACAATATTGTTTTCGATTAGATCCTCATCAGGCTTTACTCTAATATACAGTAATATTTATATGCATATACGAAATGAATTAAACCAATCAAGGTAGTTTATAAGTCAATGATAACAATGGAAAAGATTACATAATAAGTAAGATGTGAAAAGTACAAATTGATGGTGTGACAACAGGTGCATTAGTTTTTGATAAGCAATAATAATAAAGGTTCAAATCAATGTTACATAATCTGAAATAGGTCAATGATTAGAAAAATATAGAAACTGCGATAACAATTATAAAATTATAAGATGACGTAATAAGAAATGTTCAGATAATTGGACCATGAAACGTATAGTTGAGAGAAAATAAAGTGGTAGGAGGGTGTGAAGAAAAATAATAAACGAAGAGAAAGTTAGAAAAGGAATAATAAATAAATTCATTTATTAATTAAGGCCAAGGGAGAGATAAGGGAGTTACAAATTTCTTCTGAACACAAAGACTTGGCTTGTTGGTTCGGATTCCTATAGCTTCTGCTATGTGTAAGAGACGAGATCGAACACCATAAGGAAAACTAGTGGGTATCCGATATATAACTTTGAACGACTTGGTTCTGTCTACTATATGACCGCTATCGATCAAGTGTGATAGAATTGAGCTGCGTATTGTTTTGACGTAACCTTTTCCGAACCACGATGGGAGGTGTTCACTAACTCGTTGGTTCAGTTGCCTGGTAGTGCGCCCAATATAGCTTTCTCCACAGGAGCAGCTGAATTCGTAGATACACATAGAAGTGGCATAACCAGGTAACTTATCCTTCAATTGCGGAATCACCATCGATCGGGTCGAATACGATAGGCAGAGGTTGGCAGCATTAAACGTTCTCTTTACTGATCTAGTCAATCTATCCCGTAATACATCGCTAGCCAAATCACCATTGAATTGCAGTTTCAAAAAAAGCGGTTTCTTATTAGCCGTCAGGGTCACTATTTTCCTGTTTTGTACGCGCAAATGTTTCTTCAGGAAACCCAATGGATATCCCAATTCAATCAAAATATTATGAATGTTTTGTAATTCTCTATCAATAGTGTCGACTGAGCATATCTTAAGAGCTCTATTTGCAAGGCATTTGACTAAGTTTCTCTTATAATGAAGAGGCACAAAGCTTAAAAAATGTGTGTTAGCAGAAGCTATAGGAATCCGAACCAACAAGCCAAGTCTTTGTGTTCAGAAGAAATTTGTAACTCCCTTATCTCTCCCTTGGCCTTAATTAATAAATGAATTTATTTATTATTCCTTTTCTAACTTTCTCTTCGTTTATTATTTTTCTTCACACCCTCCTACCACTTTATTTTCTCTCAACTATACGTTTCATGGTCCAATTATCTGAACATTTCTTATTACGTCATCTTATAATTTTATAATTGTTATCGCAGTTTCTATATTTTTCTAATCATTGACCTATTTCAGATTATGTAACATTGATTTGAACCTTTATTATTATTGCTTATCAAAAACTAATGCACCTGTTGTCACACCATCAATTTGTACTTTTCACATCTTACTTATTATGTAATCTTTTCCATTGTTATCATTGACTTATAAACTACCTTGATTGGTTTAATTCATTTCGTATATGCATATAAATATTACTGTATATTAGAGTAAAGCCTGATGAGGATCTAATCGAAAACAATATTGTTCGCTTATATATGTTGTTCTAAATTTACAATATGGGAATATTTCAAATTTTGAAGGTCAACTGTATCAATGAACATTTACAATTCTATTATTATTCACTTTCCTTATTATTATTATTATTATTATTATTATTATTATTATTATTATTATTATTATTATTATTATTATTATTATTATTATGTCAATTGACAAGATTCAATTCCCATATTATGTATTTCATTGACACAATTTTTTTTGCATTTTAAATTTTCCTATTATGCTCTTCCACTGAACACTTTACTTCAAATAATCCAGGCCATTATAGAATGACCTTTCTAATTTGCAAATGTTACATTACATTGTCAAATTCATTAATGCCATGCCTTATTGTTGGCCTTTATAAATTATAAAAATTATGGGCTTATAACTGTATAGTGTGATGATGAAGTTACTGAAAACGATTGTTCGCTA